TATGCAAAAGACCTTGAAATGCTGGGCGGGAGTGCATAAAGCAGCCAGTCAACCCAGCCAGCGTCTTCTGACTGACAGTTCTTCCAGCCAAACACTAAAGGGGCCAAATTTGGAATGTTCAATATAGAACGTTGCTATTCAATTATAATAAGGGAGTGATTGGGTGAGAGGAGGAGGCAACCTACATGACTCATTTAGCTACTTCAGAATGTTATAAATTGTGAGGGATTTCCCAGCCTTCCTCAGCAAAGAGCCCTCTTTTTTCACCTCCTCTCCCCTGCCTCACCCACAGCCTACAGTCCCGGCTGCCCTCCCTTAAATGCAGGAATAAAAATTACATTTATTCTCTAATGAGGTTAATATTGTCAAAATGCCAACTTGCAGTATAATCCTCAAGCTACAAAACCCAAAAGCCCCTCCCCAAACTTTCTCATATAAAAGCTGTTTTTATTTTTTTTAAAAGTGGATTAAAGGTGAAGCTTACATATCTTTGTCGTATGGTTGAGGTGCCTCTTTTTTATGTATTGTTCTGATTAAATGAAACCTGAGCATAAATTCAATCCGCTTAAGGCAGGAGTGGACACAACATACCTTAATCATGCACACAAATTTGTAAAGTAAGTCTTGTGAAACACACTAACTTTGGAAATATTACAATACTAGGAATAAGGCCCATTGTGGAAATAAATACAACAAGCTCTAGAAAGAGGCTCTGGGAGAGTGCCCCGGCCTTGGGCACTCAGCGTCAATTTGCTGTGGCGACCTCAGCAGGGTATAATGACACAGAGTCCACCATTTTCTCCAGAGGAAAAGCCTCTACCGTGACTGCTTCGTCACATTGGCTGTCATAGGAGGACCATCTCAGCAGGGTAGAGGGACACAGAGTCCACCATTTTCTCCAGGGGAACTGATCTCTGCCATCTTGAGAGCAGTCGTAATTCTGAATGATCTCCAGCCTTCATTGGCAACAATGGTTCCCCAGGAGGAAAAGTACCGTTTCCCCTCTGCAATAAGGACCAAAGCAGCTTACATCATTCTCTTCTCCCTTTTGACTTGCACAACAACCCTGTGAGGTAGGTTAGGCTGAAAGTCTGTGACTGGTCCAAAATCACCCATTCAGCTTCCACAGCAAAAACCTGGGTCTAGCAGACCCTGCTCTGAAGCGCTGACTGCTACGCCTAGGGTAGCCAACCTCCAGGTGGAGCCTAAAGATCGCCAGGTATCACAAATTCTACCATAAAATCTCCAGGAATTTCCCTCCCTGGAACTGGCAATCCTAGTCAGGACTGGCCCCAATGAGTTTTCTCCCAAAGGCGAAAATAGGCATGGAAAGGGCCTTTTACTGACAGAACCAAGCTTGGTTGACTAGCAACAGGTACTGAGGGGAAAGTAGGGTTGCCAGCTCTGAGTAGGGAAATACCTGGAGAGTTGGGGGGGGCGGATCCTGTGGAGGGCAGCGTTTGGGGAGGGGAAGGACTCAGCAGGGTATAACTGAATGTATTGTAACAGAGGTAAATACACATCCAGGTGGGTTAGCCATGTTGGTCTGAAGTAGCAGAATGACTTTTGAGTCCAGTTGCACTTTTAAGACCAACTACGTTTTATTCACAGTACTAGGAGTAAGGCCTGTTGTGGAAGAAATACAATGAGCTCTAGAAGGAAGCTCCAGGTTAGTGTCCCGGCTGTGGCTGGTGAGGCAGCAGATGGAAGGGGAAAATAGAGGGAAGCAAGCCATGTTTATTTCCTTCTGCTTAGCTATAAGGCAGGGCTGTCTCAAGTCATTTTGCTGCCCCAAGTGGGTAGTATGGGAGGATAGCCTCATGGTAACAGGTATGGTCCCCTCCACCCCTGACTTATGTTGATTTGGGGTTATGCAGTGGCAGCTAAGGTAGAAAAGCACCTCCTCCTATGCCATATCTTCTGGGTTCCAAGGGTCTGAAAAGCGGTTCCATAGCCAGTTACAGGGTTACCAACTCTGGGTTGGGAAATACCTGTAGATTTGAGGGGGAGAGCCTGGGGAGGGAAGGGGTGGGGAGGGACCTCAGCAGTGTATAATGCCAGAATCCACTGGCCAAAGCAGCCATTTTCTCCAGGAGAACTGCTCTTGGTCATCTGGACATCAGTTGTAAGAGCTGGAGATCTCCAGGTGCCGCCTGGAGGTTGGCTTATGTTAATTTGTGGCTATGCAGTGGCAGCGAAGGTAGAAAGGCACCTCCTCCTATGTCATGTTTTCTGGGTTCCACGGGTCTGGAAAGTGGCTCCATAGCCAATTACATGGTTGCCAACTCTGGGTTGGGAAATACCTGTAGATTTGAGGGGTAGAGCCTGGGGAGGGCAGGGTTTGGG